CCAACTTGGCCAAACTGAGCGCCAATGTTAAGTAGGGGGCGCGGGGCAAGTCGTAACGAGATGGCATGGATCTGCTTCAAAAGAGATGCAAGATTTCTTCCATCCACCGACTGGTGTAGAGGGCGCTTTGTTGCGTTGCTTCGGCGCAAAACAAAGCGTTGCGTGCCCTGTGCAGTCAACACTCAGTCAACACTCAGTCAACACTCAGTCAACACTCAGTCAACACTACAGTCAACACTCCCCAAATCCTGGCAGGGCCAGCAAATCCACAAATCAGGCAATGAAAAAGCTTTTTCTCTATTTTTTGATTGTTTTACTAGTAACTGGGCCGGTTCAGTGGCCCTGCCAGGGTTTTGCTAGTGTTGACTGTAGTGTTGACTGTAGTGTTGACTGAGTGTTGACTGACTGTTGACTGAGTGTTGTATTGACGGGGAGCTGCCAAGACTCCGGAATGTGCCGCGTGTGCTGCTTCGTGCGCCCCGGCTTTGTAATTCTGAAACTTGGCCTTTACAACATTACAGCTCACACAGCGCAACGCTGAAAACAGTGATGCTCAACTTGCCTGCGGCTACTGTTGATGGAAGAAATCTTGCATGGGTTTACAAGACTACATGTTTGCCACCCCGCGCCCCCTACTTAACATTGAGTTGCGACGAGCAAAACCGCTCATAGGTTGTCAATGGCCTAAATCTTGCATGACCCAACCCAACTTGGCCAAACTGAGCGCCAATGTTAAGTAAGGGGCGCGGGGCAAGTCGTAACGAGATGGCATGGATCTGCTTCAAAAGAGATGCAAGATTTCTTCCATCCACCGTATGTAGGGCAAGAGACAGCTTCCAATCAATCTGCAACCAACCATGTATGATCTGCAGTTTCCACTGCAAGATGCTCTAGCTATTGGGCAGTGCTCTCTCTATCTCTCCCTCTCTGTGTCTATCTCTCTCTCTCTCTCTCTCTCTCTCTGTCTCTTTCTCTCTCTCTCTCTCTCTATCTCTTCTGTTCTCGCTGTCCTTATCTCGCTCTTTCTCTCCCTATCTGCCCAAGCAAAAAAACACGTGCCTTGCGGTGGGTCTCATCCACGAGAGATGTTTGGGCACTGCCTAGGACTATGTTTCCCACCTTCCACCACAATGCAAGGCATCTAAGATAACCATAAATCAATCAGGTGACTCAATAGCTCCCCGGCGATTTCAGAATACACGGCAACAACATCGCTGCATCTGTGTTAGCAGGGGATTCCCAATTCTGTCCCTTGCAAAGAAGCCCACAAACACAGCGATGCCTGCCTTTGTTTCCTGTTAAGTTCCTTCCAAACATGCAACAATACAAGGGCTTCAGTTGGGTCCATGTTAGATTTCCCAGTCAAGATATGGGTACCCGAAAATGGGTGGCTTTCTTTGGTTATCTTTCAACCAACCTGGAAAGGTTACCCTCAAAAAGCACACACACACACACACCGCCACAAATTCCACCTAAAGTTGGGGGGTCATCTGCACGCACGAGGCAACTCTTTTTCCTCCTACTCGCCGGGCTCTCGCTCCAGCACAAAGCCGGAGTACCTAAGGACGAAATGCACGGAAGCCCATCAACTGGAGCTTGCATTGGGTTCCCCTAGAAACCAAGCAGGGACCTAGAGGACCTAGATTCCTAGATGACACGCCCATGTGAGTCTTCAAGGGTCAAAAACATTTTTCGTGTCGGCGCGACACTGGGAGTTGGCTTTGCTGCACTTAGTTGGAGGGCAATCTGGCGAGGCTGCCCCATGTCTTCCCTCATCAATAAGACAGGCAAGTCGTGGTCTCTTGATCAATGAGTCACGGATCATCCTATGCCTTGGGCAAGGAACACTCAGTGCCGATGATCTTGTGCGGTAGCGGCCGCTGTGGCACAAAGAAATACTGTACTGTGCCGTTTGCTGAGGGTTGGCCTGACCATGCAAACAACCCCAAGTGACCGCTTCCGGTTTGAAGCTCGCACATTCCTGAACTCAAAATAGGCTTTGCCCGGCGGCAGTCTGAAGAGATTCTCCTCCTCCACTGTCAAGTTAGTGTTCCCTCGATCCTCGGAGACCACATGTCAAACCAGTGTGCCGGACACAGCCCACTAGATGAGCCTTGAAGCAGTTTGTTGCGCGCGGCATGATATAAAAGTGCTCAGCTATGATGCTTGAAGGTGTGGCTGCAAGAATAAAGTCCCTCAAAACAAGGCTTGCTGCGGGCCGCGCCTCCTAGCGGAGAAATGCACGCGTGTATGCACGTGTGTCGTCCGATGGCCCAGTCATAGACACCACTCCTAGACAAGGGGAATGTCGATGACACCTCTGACAGGGACCCATATGATTTCTTGAGTGCCTTACCAAATGTCTCGTTTTGACCATGGCACACGTTGGAATCAGATGCGAGCCTGCTCCGCGGGAGCTTGAAAGCTCCATCATGAGTACAAGGCTCAGCAGCATCGCCCAAACAAGCACCTGTGTTCCGTGTGTAGGAAAGGGGCCGGCACGTGTCCAAGGATGGTAGTCTGCAAAGGGCCTACCTGGGCTGTCTGACGCACTCGCTGCAGCTTTGTCTGAGCGGCTTTGGAGAAAACATTCTTGTAGAAGCTGGACCTTGGCTCATGGACGCAGATTTTGAAACACCAAAATGAGGGTGAACTCTGTTGGGTTCTTTCAAAACAACACAAAAAGGGCAGCCCCCAGAAAAGACCTTGTGTCTTTCTTGGTTTGGGGGGGGGGAGAGGGAGGGGGGAAGAGGGAATTTGTGGAACCTCCCTGAACAAGGGCAGGTAAAGCGCGCCGGAACCTGGCATTGGGACGCTTTCATGTCGAACAGCAGCTAAAATGGCTGGTGGAAAGAACTCCCGTGTTTGTATGGCCAGCAAATGTTCCTTAGCTTAGCAATTGACCACCAAACCTTATGGGAGTCCTTGAACAACCCTCCCATGAGAACAAGACTTCACCTCGCCAGGCCCCGCACTTCGCCTTGAGCTGGGCCAGCAGGTCCGGGAAGGAGGCGTCCGCTAAGACCCTCGCCATCGGAATTCCACTCCGCACGGTCCCTTTAAGGAGTGGGTTTGGTGGAAACAGAGAAGGGTTTAGTGAGAACAACAGAGATGAGCCCCGTAAAAAGTAAGATTTGTGGGTGTTGCTTGGATAAACAAAAGGGTCAGTGGTGATAAGCAAACAAAAGCCAGCGGCAGCTATCTTCCGCGAAAACGATCTAAAGGGACTGTGTGATACAAATCGGACTCCACGGATGTTGCAAGCAGCAAGCAGGGTGCCTGCACGTCCCCCTACTGCAAATATGTCACGGCCGTTTCACTTGCAGTATCGGAGGAAAGCAAACGTGCATCGGGATGATGAAGCGATAGGCCAGACATCTCGGAACATACAGAGCAGGCCAGCCCCAAAAGCTGAAGGATGAGTTGTTGTTGCATTGCGTGGAAAGGAAGGTACGGCGGAAGAAACTAAAAGGTATCAGGGACGGAACAGATGGCAACAGACTTGAAACACAAAAGGATGTCTGGATTGCAAAGAGGGGTGTCAGGGAAAGGAAACGCGAGCCGGCCCATGTTTGACAACCCGGATGTCGCAGCTGCCTCAAGCCGTAAGAGGCCGCCAACTCCTCGAAGCTTTCCCAGGGCATCACGTACTCCTGAGGGAAAGCCGCTTGCGGCAAAGGAACCGACCGACCGGTGCAGGAACAGCAGTCAGTCCTGCTTCTACGAAGCCACACTCAGTGACTCTGCATGATCACAATCATTAAAAAGATATGGCAAACCACCGCAACTTCTCTGAAACATGCTCCGGATCCCCAAGGATCAACCACGGCCGTCCCAGGTGCAAGCCTGTCCAAACCTTCAATCGCTCACGAGACATAGGTGGATTCGACTGGATTCGGTGAAATCGAATCATCGAATCTAACTGAGACCAGCAGAATCCAAACCAAACTGACCTGATTGAAGGGCCCCAGACTCGCCCAATCCACAGGTTTTGGCTCGAGCACATCCCTGGGAAGAAGGCTGAAGCAGTCTTGTGCCCGTGGCCTCTGGAGGATCATTTGGGTGTGAGTTTATTTGGAAATGGACACCATCTTTCAGGGTGTTCCTCACTGCACTTGTTGCGTGGATGGGACAAGGAAAAGCGAAACTGCTTGCTTTCCCCCAGCCAAATCTTGCCACAGAAAGGCCCAAAGCCAGCAAGCACCCTTGGCGGGCTGGCTTCCGAGCAAACTCGACCCATTTTTGCGCCAACTGGAGTCGTGTGCTGTCCCGCAACATTCTACCAGGGATGTCGGATCCTGACAGGAAATAGGAGCGTATGCAGCGTGCACGGCATCAATTCCCTTCCGCGGGCCTCCGCATGGACAGCGCCCTCCAGGGAGAAGAGGTACGGCAGGCCCCACTGGCGCAGAAAAACCTGGAACCGGGCCCCCAATAAATTCAACTGCGGAAGGAAGCGCAGAGAGGTTGACTATCCCCTTCAACATCACCCTTTCAAGGTAAATTGGACCTGAAAAACAAGTAAAGCAGAAACATTGGGAACATTGACAGACAGAAGCTCCTTCCAGCTGCAGAGGGCTAGAGGGCTAGTGAGCGCCTCGGATGAATCCACTTAACTGGGATGCTCCCTTGTTTCGTTGGGCGCAACACTTAGAAAGCAGGGCTTTCATCTGAACGTCTAGCCTAAGGAGCAAAGGGCTGAAGTCTAGAGCTTGAGAAATGTATCTATTCGTTCATGTCACGTGTTTATCCATTTTTGTTGATGCTTGTTTGAGATGCATAAACTCATTTACTGTCTTGCCTTATCATTCCTTGATGTGCTCATTTTGTTTGCAGTTATCCTGGCTAAAATAAGCCTCTGCTAAACGTCCTTGATGTCTGCCCCCTCCTGACACTCAAGCGAATGGACTCAGGCACAAAAGGCAAACAGTACCAAACAGTCGGGTTGCCTGCCGTGTCCCGCTTGTTGATACGTGAGTAAATACGTATACATGTATATATACATATATATATATATACAAAACCATTCTGCTATGAGCAACAGTGCATTGCTTTTGCAGTTGACAGCTGCTATGAAAGCAGCTAAGATGCAACTCAGGACGCTATGTTGTAGGCAGTCTTCACCCATCTTTCACGTTCCAGTCGCTCTGCCAGTAACACGAATCGGCAAGATTCTTCGCATCGCTTCGCAGTCAAATACAAATCTGAACTGGAAGCCATCTGAAAATGCGTCAGGGCTCTTCTAGTGTCGCAACAGCATCCGACCACATCGCAAGGTTAGTCACCTAGCCCAACCTAACCCATTGCCATAGCAAAACACCGCTCTTTCCAAAGAGTCTTGTCCCCAACAGTCCTCCGTCTACCTGCCTTTTTCGTTAAATTGTTCCCACCCATACCCCTCCCAAGTCCAGCCTCGCCCATACACCCCAGCATAGGTTTGCCTCCGAAATACCGATCTCTGCATACTTTGCAAATGACCTTCCAAGTAAAATCCCTTGCCACAACCACTTTCACCAACTCAATTTCCACAGCTCCACTGCTATGACGGTGGTCGCACCTTCAGCTTAAAACTAAGCCCCATCTCCCACCACAACACCCCCACTACAACCCCCACTGACCTGCTGAGTTGACCTGCCAGAAACTCCAATAACAAAGAAACAAAACAAATGTGCAAAATTTATCAAACCGGTGAAGGCCCCCTCCATGCCTCGTCCAGCTCCAGCTGCAGGCCCGCATCCTCCAGACGCCGCCAGGCCTCCCCCTGGAAGCTCGCCTGCCGCAGGCGTTCAAACGGCCTTGAGGGTCTTGGTTGCCCTGTGGGGAAGGCGGCCCGGCCTAGAGAAGTGACGAACCTCGCAACTCTCGATTGCTCCGATTGAAACATGTAACAGTGTAACAGCTCAACAGGAGGCCCTTGGAAGAAAAGGATGCTTCCAACAACTGTCATGGCAACAGTTCTGCTAAGCCACCACCACAACAACCGAGAAAAGCGCCCACCCTACCCACCAACCGAACCGCCCAACCAGGCGGGCGGGAGGGAGGGCGGGCAGACAGGCAGACCAACCGACCGACCGACAAAGAAAGACAGACAGAGACACAGACAGAGACAGACAGACAGACAAGCAGAGACAGACAGACGGACAGACAGACAAACAGACAGACAGGCAGGCAGGCAGGCAGGCAGGCAGGCAAGGCAGGCAGGCAGGCAGGCAGGCAGGCAGGCAGACAGACAGACAGACAGACAGACAGACAGACAGACAGACAGCAGACAGAGAGACAGAGAGACAGAGAGACAGAGAGACAGAGAGACAGAGAGACAGAGAGACAGAGAGACAGAGAGACAGAGAGACAGAGAGACAGAGAGACAGAGAGACAGAGAGACAGAGAGACAGAGACAGAGAGACAGAGAGACAGAGAGACAGAGAGACAGAGAGACAGAGAGACAGAGAGACAGAGAGACAGAGAGACAGAGAGACAGAGAGAAGAGAGAGAGAGACAGAGAGACAGAGAGACAGAGAGACAGAGAGACAGAGAGACAGAGAGACAGAGAGACAGAGAGACAGAGAGACAGAGAGACAGAGAGACAGACAAGCAGAGACAGACAGAGAGACAGAGAGACAGAGAGACAGAGACACAGAGAGAGACACAGAGAGAAACACAGAGAGACAGAGACACAGAGAGACAGACACACAGAGAGACAGAGACACAGAGAGATAGAGAGACAGAAACACAGAGAGACAGAGAGACAGAGAGACAGAGAGGCAGAGAGACAGAGAGAGACAGAGAGAGACTGAGAAAGACAGAGAGAGAGAGAGACAGAGAGAGACAGAGAGAGACAGAGAGAGACAGAGAGAGACAGAGAAAGACAGAGAGAGAGAGACGGAGAGAGACAGAGAGAGACAGAGAGAGACAGAGAGAGACAGAGAGACAGACAGACAGACAGACAAACAAACAAACAAACACATGAGCAAGTAAGCAAACAAACAAGAACGGTCAATGGTCCTCGCTCGCCCCCACCCCCCCAACCCCCCTCCAAAAAACAAACAAACAAAAACAAAATGGAACGTGCGAGCACTGCCTGAAAGAGGCGGCTGCGCAAGGTCCGCTCGCAGCTCCTCGCAGAGCGGAGAGGAGACACGTTCCCAGAGTTTATATCATCAACGAACCATATTTAACCGCATGTACAGGGGTGGGTGACATGAAAACTCTTAAGATGCAATTCGAAAGTCAGGTGGCCTCGCCAAAACATCTTAAAGACCAGACACAGGAAATTCTACAGGAAATTCACTCAACGCGGCTTCTCATAGAATTCCCTCACAAAAAGAAACCGCCCACGTGCACACGCGGAAAATAAGATGCTGCATTGTAAACTAGTGCAACCCACCCACCTCATCCCCCTTCATGCCCCTTCACCAATCGAGCCGTACTGGATGCGCTGACCAAAGCTTATGGCAAACTCTGCAGGAAACATGTGTTCCCAATGTTTATGTTTTTGTTGATTATGTTCCTCTGTCAGTGGCAGTTTGGTAGATACACTATCCCATGGCAAACATATGTGCCATGGTGAACATATGTGGATACCCTGACGGTTGCTGTGGTAAACATAAAGTGATAACCCCTTTGGATACTTTGTCCGAGTTTCACATCGTCACCTGGCTCACACCTCAACTGCCTGACTGGTAGGCCAAGAAAAGCATCTGCTCGCTGCAGTCGAGCCAAAAACAAGTCAGACCTAATTGAGGGTGTCAAGCGCATGGACCGGGATGGCTGGTAGCTTCGCTCAAGCCGAACCGGGCTGGCATGCTCATCCTGTTCAAGGAAAAAACGACAACTGCGCCAAAATTGCACCGCTCGGGCTGCGGGACGATGGTCATCTTGGTGAAAAAGCATCACACACATCCGCAGCCTGCCGTTCTTTGGCGGCAGCACGTGGCCTCAACCCCAGCAGCACGCTTCGCCGCAGTTTGCTTATGCCTCTTCGTCACTCCCTCGTAGGCCACGGCCGCCGCAGGGCGGGCCAAGTTGTGCTGCCAATGACCAGAACCCGTGGCATTGATGACGCCAGGTCGAGTGCCAACGGCCTTGCTCCACGCTGGCGAGCACCATCACAAAGCCGGGGTCGCAGGGCGGTGGCATTGCAAACCCACGTGAGCAGGAAGGCGACCTTCCTCCAGCACCAGGAACTCGGTCACGTGCGTGGGTGGGTGGGTGGGTGGGTGGGTGGGTGGGTGGTTGGTTGGTTGGTTGGTTGGTTGGGTGGGTGGGTGGGTGGGTGGGTGGGTGAGGTCCTCACCAAAAAGCACCAATCTAACCCTGCCACCACGCAGTCGCATTCCGTCCTGGGCCGTGTAGGGATCCCCCGCTCGTAGAAGTCCGCAAGGACTTCGCAGGAAGGCACCTGAGAACAACTTGCAGGTGCTGAACAGAAGCCTTTACAGGCTGCTCTCGGCGCCAAAACAACAAAACCACTAGGCGCATCTCGGGTGTTTCTCCAGAATGCCGACAAAATGGTGGGATACCAAGCACCAAAATTGTCCGAGCGGCGGACTTCATAAAACCCAGCCACCAAAGTGGGTGTTGTTGTTCAATAAAACCCAATGCTTGTGTTGGCCTGGGACAACCCAAGCGGCGTGAGGACTAGTCATACGTATGCATGAAGGCAAAGCCAGCTAGTTTGCTCAGAATTAAGCAAATCCCTCATCAACATTGCACAAGGGCTAACCCCACCCAACCCCAGCAAGCCCCCCCTCACCCCCCCTCACCCCACCTAACCCAACCTTACCCAACCCACCCACCCCCCACCCCGCATTCCACCGCGGCGCCGTGCCCAGGAAGCGGCCCCCCGGCCGCAGCAAAGGCACCAGGCGCTCCAGGAACTGCCGGGCAGCCTGCTGCACTGCTTATCTAGTTAAAAGGTGAACACTAGCGGGGGTTTAGCTGACATCCGGACAACGGGTCTTATTTCCCGCTAGATGGTGGTTTTGGTCGGGTGGAAAAAATGTTGTCTTTGATGGCCAAAACACATCTTTCAAGGAGCTCTGTAGTGGGGAAAAACCAGGGAGAGAAAAATATGGGATACAGTCTTCACGTGAGCCAGTCCAAAATTGGCCATTGACAACTCGCCAAGGAAACCATCAATCGTGGCAAACCCGAAAATGGAGCCAATCCAAAACCACAAACAAATGCCTGAGGACATGGAGAAGACCAGCCGAGCCTTGAGCCACAGCCGCTATGCATGATCGGCATCATAGAGGGCACCTACCGACAAGCTAAAATAGTCCTTGCTGTCCGGTACTGCAAACGCTTGTCTGCTTTCTGAGTTACCCACGTCCTTTCACAGGGAACAACTGACAGCGTTGCCAGAATCCCAAGCCAAACTTGATTCAAACATCCATTGCTGGGCAGCGGCAAAAGGCTGCCTAGATGCTCTTGCTGGCAAAGGAAATAGTCACAGGCAGTGGCTGGATGATGCGCCCCAAGTCTGACTCTGTCAGTTTGGCGTGGGCATGGCTGGATCACAGCTGTTCTTATTGCTGGCTGTTCCAGAAGCTAGGCGGTGGGCCCAGCAGGACCAAGCTCAGACTCTCAGTTCAAACATGTGCTCGTGGATGTTTCTCAAATAGGGAGGTCTTCATGGCGGGTTTCCTTTTGGTTTCCCTTCAAACACCAGCCCAAAAGCGGTCCACCACTTCGAGACGCTCTATCATGAGGATTTGGAGGAGCCCAGTCAAGCCAAGGACAAGGTGGAGACGCAAAAGATCTCCATGCCTTACTTTGCGTCTTCAGTGTACAACTCAGTGCCATTGACTGCACATCGTGGCTGGAGAAAGAAGGCACATGGGAAGCAAAGGAGAGCAAATGTGAAGGGACCTTGTGGCGGGCTCCATTTTAGTGGAACCTACGGGGTCCACTAGCAAGAAAGCCTTGGTACAACTACTGTACAGTTGTTTCCGAGTTCTGGGGATGCGTGGGAGGAGGGTTGTGGGGATGCGCCGAGGAAGGTTCCGCGGATGTTCTGAGGAAGGGCGGCTGAGGTAGGGTTCCGCGGAGGTTTCTGGGAACGCATGGCGTCCCAAAATGGATTGCGCTGTTCCTTGGTTCACTTGAAACCAACCTGAAAAAGCTGTCGGGCCTCGACCAAAAACAAACAGCCATTTGGTGTCACAAAATAGCCCACAGCTGGTGGAAGCGTCGTCGAGCGGCCTGCTCCGAGTCCAGCAAATACTGCAGGGCAAACTGGCAAACCACCACGTCGAACCTCGGGATCTCGATGCTGGGGGAGGATGATGTCAGGGGAGCGTTGGGGGGAATGCCAACTGGCCGGGGGGATGGGGGAATTGAGGGGGCCAAACAGACAACAGACACCACCTTCCCTTTCCTGGTGTGCCCCACCATCAAGACCGTATCACTTGGGGCGATCTGTGGTCGTTTAATCACTCTCCAAAACATGTTTTTACAGCAGGGAAAGGTTGGCAGAGTCTTCCTCGGATACTCCGCCATATTCACATAACAGTCAAATGGCACCAAGCAGTTAATATACGTGCGTCTGTGTGTGTCTGTGGGTGTATGCATACGGGTGTTCCTACAGCCTACAGGTGTAGATTATTGGTGCACAGAACTGTGCCTAGACATCACTGTGGGCAACATGCCGCCTAAACTACCGGAAAGAGTGGGATGATCAATCTCAAGACACCAATCTTGGAATTGATTTCATAGGCACTCTCCCGTTAGCTCGCATCATGTCCGGCAGAATCGTATAGTAATCCGTAACTTCTCGAACCCAGTCCTTCATCGTGTCAACCAGCTAGCCTGACTCATCCACTTGATGTGCAAGGCTATGAACATCGCGGTCCCTTCACGTCTACCCCGTTTGGTAGACTCCCGCATTTCCTCCAAGTAGCCTTCGGCAATCTGACATTCAACCCGCACATTTGTGCGACCCTGGTAACTGGCAACAAGAAGCATGGATCAATCTGGACAGCTGTGCTTTCGCTAGAGGAAGGCCCTAGTAAGGCGAGCTGCAGAGTGGAGCAACTCTCTCTCTCTCTCTCACCTCTCTCCCACTAGTCCCATCAAAAAGAATCAGCCTGCTACATTCCAAGTCATTCACAGCTTTGGTCACATTCTATGTCATCCTGCCACCAACTGACGTAGAAGTGCACCGCCCTTTTGGAAGACTGCTTTGCTTTTGGGATTGGGGCAATTGTGCAAGCCATGTTGGGAGGTGCACTGACATCCCGTATCTGAGGCCTTTGCTGGGTAGTTTCCTCCAAAAAGGTCGCGGACTGGCGGAGGTCCCCGGTCTTGAAGACGGCGGTGAACTCTTCGCGCCCCGCCTTGGCTGCCCTCTGGAGGATCGTGCCTCGGCGGGAAGGAAGGGCGACAAACCCAAGGTACAGTGAGAGGAACTGGTCGGTTTGAAACCTCCCGTTCTTGTGCATTTCGGCGAAGCTCCCTTGGCCAAAATCGATCCTTCTGCTTCTCGCAAAGCAAACCAGGAGGGACAAAGCCGGCCTTCGCCGCCCTTGGAAGGATTCTCCGATTTACATGCAAACGATCCTTTCCACAAAGGAAAGTCTGTGCACTTCTATGCTTGGGAGGGAACTATCTCCCTTCCAACGTTGCCGTAGCACCCGAGTGGGGGATCCCTTGAAAAGGACATTAGTACCCGCTCACAGGTGCTATGTGGGGTTGTATTTGAGAGGATAGGGACCTTCAACAAATATTTGCTTTCCTTTGGTTTCGTCGTTTCGATTCCCTTCAAGCCAAAGGGAACACCCTAAGGATAACCAACTTGCAAAAGACCACCCGCAGTTGCTTCTTCTTCAAGTCTTCTGGTTTCCCTTCGAAACCCAGGGAGCTCTCCCCTCCAACCTGGACCCCCGATCCACAGCGCTCGAATCGCCGGGGCGCCATAGCGGCGCCGGGCCTCCTCGATGGCCTCGGCAGCGAAGTCGATGCCCACCAGGTGCTTCACGTGGCAGGCGCGGTGCTCCCGGGAGTACCTCTGAGGCGGGAAGCCGGCCAGTAAGGAGAGGAGTGAAGGAGTGAAGGAGTGCAACCGGGGTGACCAAAATGACTAAACTGCTAGGCCATGGACAACTGAGTGGGGTGTGGCACGTTCATCAAGCCCCACCCTGGACTCCACACGTCTCTCATCTGGTCCCAGCCGCTTCAGGAGATCTTGACCACGGCCGCAGGCCAGATCCAGGACGCGGAGCTCCCCGGACATGCCGTCCACAAAGCCTCAGCTTCCAAAGACGGGGATCTGGGCTAATCGAAACTCACTGAAATTCAGGGAGCCCCCAAAGGAACCTTCTTCATGAGCACGTTTGCCCCCAGGAACCCGAAGAATTAACTTAGAAGAACACATGTCTTCCGGCAAGCTGCCTGAACCGCGGCGAAGGGAAAACTCCCCAAGGTGGGGTGCCAGCAAACAACCGGAGACAGGCAAAGCCAAGAAGTCGAGGCTCCAGCGTTCAAAAATGTATCGCAAGTAATCAACAACACAGCAGGAATGCAAAGTGGATCTTTTGCGAGAGAACATGCAGAAGATTGGCAACAAAAGACATGTGATGTAACTCGATTTTGGTGGAATATCAGTCAGCATAATGTAGAGAAAAGTCCGCCGCTGGTTTCGTGTTTGCATGGCACGAATCACTACCACAGGCTGTAGAGACTGTGGCTCAAAGTAACATCCCCCCCCCCCCCGAACCCCCAGTTTGTAGAATCTTAGAAGAAACAAAAAATGACAGCCGTATCCTAGAGTCCACGGAAACTCAAGAGAAAAAGCGCGCTGAGCTGCTCTCCAGCATCATGGTCTTCACACAGTTGTTCAGGCGCCGAAGTCGTGCAGTCTCGTCTGCGCCTTCGAGCGAACTGTTCAGTGAGACAGGGAGAACGAAGGACGGATGCACGGACGGGCAGAAGGAAGGGCGGGAGGGGACGAAGGAAGGAAGGAAGGAAAGGAAAGGAAAGGAAACGGAAACGGAAACGGAAGGGAAGGAAGGAAGGAAGGAAGAGAGGGAGGGAGGAAGGGAGGAAGGAAGGAAGAAAGGAAGGAAGAAAGGAAGGAAGAAATGAAGAAATGAAGAAATGAAGAAATGAAGAAATGAAGAAATGAAGAAATGAAGAAGAGGAGAGACAGAAGTGAGATAGACAGAAAGATCCAAAAAGAGAAAGGACAGAAGAGAGATGGGTGAGAGATAGAAAGAAACGACACAGATAGCTGGAAATGGTGGTAGAAAGAGCAGAAACAAAGGTAGAGAGACAGATAGAAAGAAAAAGTGAGGGAGAGATGGAAAGAGAGATAGAGGGACAGATGAAAAAAGAAAGAAAGAAAGAAAGAAAGAAAGAAAGAAAGAAAGAAAGAAAGAAAGACAGACAGACAGACAGACAGACAGAAAAAGAGAGAGAGAGAGAAAGAAAGAAAGAAAGAAAGAAAGAAAGAAAGAAAGAAAAGAAAGAGAGAGAGAGAGAGAGGAAAAGGCGAGGAACAAAGGGAAGGGACATGCGACAACGAGGATCAAAAGGACTTTCTAACAAAGGAAAACCAACCAAAGACAACGGGAAAAGGAGAGGGGAGGTGAACAAAATGTGAGTCCATATTGTCCGTGGGAATTCGTGAGTCTCCCGGTCTTCGAAGAAAAATTATTGAGTTTCACTGGCTATCGTGCAACAGAAAATTTAGCAAGTCCCCCTTGGCCTTTATGTGGCAGACACCAAGCCCCCATTTCCCGAACCCCACATTAACGATAGACATCGAACAAATCGCTTTGTCTCTAAATGGAATGTGGACACCCCCCAAGCTTGAGTGTCCATCGGCTTCCGATTCCCGTCAACCCCAGAACGGATACCTAAGCAAAAGTCTCGTGCCCATATTCTGGGTGCGAAACATGATTGGGCACCCTGTGGTGGACATCACTTACATGCAAATTAATACAATTACCGTAGAATCCCAAAGTGTGTCATGTGCATTGTTGAGGGTGTTGGGACCATCACAATATTGTTGTCATCAGATCAGCCTATCATAACATGTAATCAATAAGAATATGCCAGCAGAATGCAAAACCAAATTTCGTCACACCCCTTCTTCAGGTCAGCCCAGAACACAACCACAAAAAGCAGAGGTATCCATGCCAAAAAAAAAACAGGATGTCGCAAAAAACATCCAAGCCGCCCGTCCAGGTGCCGTAGGTCGCACGCTTGTCGTAGAACTCCTGGGTGCGGGTAGCCGCATCGAAGAGCCCGGGGTAGTAGAGCTTCTCCGTGTCCCCTGAGAAACAAAACGGAGGGCTCCAAAAGGGTAGGGCCCTAGAAAATTGGGAGGAAGCCGAGTAGGAACCACAGGAATGTTCTGAAGGTCCGGTCAACCTTCAGCTTGGAGCAACCCCTTGACTCCATGGTGTGAAATTTGCAGGGGTCCACGTAAAAGAAAACAAAAGAGTGGACATGCTCAGCTGTTGATTGGGACTGTTCCTTACTGGCCTTCACTAGTGGCTTGATTGTGGCTCAGACGTCAGCCGTCAATCTCCCGGCTGCGCTTCTAGCTGCAATGCAAGGGTAAGCGCGTGGGGCCAAGCATGTATCCCTGCTAAACTGGGGTTGCCAACCTATAGGGTATGTACAGTAAGGGGTTTGTTTCTGGGTATGCGTTTGGGGCGCTCGAAGATGGTATCACTCTTGCTCCGTTTTGGCTCGGACCCGGCCTGTCTTCAGCGGGTCCAGGCTGTCCATGGCTTGCTGCAGCGCTTGGGCGTTGCGGCGGAAGTCCCGGCAGAGCCTGCCTCGGTTTTCGAGGCGCCCACGCGCTGGCGAGGAAACATAAGGCCCCCGTGTCTTTTGGAAGAATAGATAGATTCTGGCCCCCATTTGAAACTCTTGTACCATTTTGTGCGCTGGGGTCCCCGCTGGCAAATGATTCGAAGCAAACTGAAACGAAAGTGGGATTCATCTGTTGTCCACCGAACTGCCCCAAACGGACCTGTGACCAGGGCGATGTGAATTCTGTTATCAGGCACGTCAGCAAAGCAAACAGTATTCAAATTGATTGATTAAGAATGTGACCTTGCAAAAGGTCCCACAAAGATTCTGGGGCACTAACCTCTATTCAACCAGACAGGTCCCGTTTTTCAAATGAAGGCGTCTCCGAACTTGCGACGCTCCAAATGGGCGGCTTCCTTCTGGTTGTCAGCTGGCCAGTCCCAAAACACTGCAATTCCAAACAAGACAAAGCAGCTGTGAAGAAGCCATGGCAAAGAGTGGATAAGTCACATCCTCTGACACAGAGTGGCAAAAAAGTAAAAGAGTAGTTGATCGCGTGCTTAATGTATTTGGCAAGGTCCGAAACTTGGGGAGGTGACCCGCTTGTGGATGGGCTTTTGGATGGGAAACCAACATTGGAACCCACTTGTGCACCTCAGCGCTTGGGGCTCCTCTTGGTTGGTCAAACCCAACGATCGCTGCGTGTTGAACATCCGAAATGTCAGTCTAAAACGGCCCTGTATGACGAGTCGCTGAAGTTGTGAGGTTTTGACGCCCTCATGCGCCCACGGTGGTAGAGGAGGAATGCCTCTGCAGGGTCCAAGGTCAGTCCAAGAGGTCCGACCTGTAAACAACAGCACCAAAAGGAACTGAACCAACCACGGAACGAAAGGAAACTCATCAAATCCGCCGACGCCAGTCGAGCGTGTAGATGGCAGTCCGCAACTTGGTCTTCCTTCGGATCTCTTATCAAAGCCGAAGGCTTTTGGGGCTGCCATTTTTTGGGCATGGTGTGCTGGGTGTCCAAAACCCTGTAATTGTCCAGTGTTTTTGTGGCTTGCGTGCTAAAAATATGCGTTTCGCCTAGGTCTCTAGGGGGGGGTGGTTTTCCCCCGGACGCACAGGATCTGCATCCCCAGCATCATCAGGGTTACCTTGCTATGAATTTGTCCCTTCTTTTTGCAGATACTAATGGCGTTTTGCTGTTTCAAGCAATGTTGGAATTGGCCTGCTAGGGGTCTGGGTGGGGCCAAGTGCAGTGATACGTTGAGGAACTGTTTGAATTTGCAAAAATGAGTGTTTTTTGCAATTCCCCACCTGTACGGAGCAGTTACTGCGAAACATCCCCTGCATTATCGTGCTTTTGGAAGTCTCTTTCTAGGGTATTTGAGGGGGGTTGCTAGTACCGGCTTTTGGTTGTTGATTTTGGGAAATATCAAAAAATCATGTTTTTTGGGACTTTTTTGTGGCCAGCCGGCTGCATTCCATTCCCAGCATTCCCGGCATCTCTGGTATTTTCTGTGTTTGGTCAATGTTGTGCCTTGGCATTTCCAGCATTTTTTATAGAGAAATGTCTGTAAACTGGCAAATTCAGACCTTCTATCATCTCGTGCCAACAAGCAAGACTTCCCTGAAAAAAAAAGGGCTTAAAATCCCTTGCACCCCACTGGCATCGGCGGATCGCGTAGCGATTTCAATATGAGCAGAGCTTCGACCAAGCGCGAGCCAGGGAGTCTTTGCAGGGGAGGTGTGGGAGATGGAGAACTCTTCTGGCCTAGTCAGTCGTGAATGTGGAAGATGGACGCCCCTTTCCATGATATCGCGTAATTCCTGCTTGCTTCCTAACCATGACTAGTTTATTGTAACATAGTGACTCCCTTCGCTTGCAGAAAGTGGCCACTCTGGGCATTTCGTGGCGCAATTTCCGCGGAGCCTGGGTTGCACGCCGTACCCTCATTACCTCGGTCCATAGACCTCAGAAAACAAAGTCTAGCTAGCACAACCTTCTCGAACGAGTTCTGTTCCCCAACTCTCCTGACGAATGGTCATGCTTAAGTGTTGAAGCAGGGCTAAGCCGAGCTTTGCTGGAAAGCTGCCACTTAGCTGTGCAGGGTCCCAGCAGGCCCAAACTTGCAAGATTGTGCATCGCCGGCTTCATCTAAAAATTGTGCCAAAACCACCTTCCCGGCAGTTCCCATCCAACGCAAACATCCCCGGACCTGAAGGGCAAGGGACGGCGGACCCAATTCCTTCTTCAGGTGGGATATTCAGAACGCTTGTATACTTCTGTTCGGATCCGGCCTCATTCATGCGCAGCTCTACCCATGCTTTGGCCTCCTCCTGCACGATAGAAATGGTCCAGGTGGGGTCGTCTGGCCCGGACACCTAAGCAATGAGGCCACCTGCTGGTGTTTTTGCAACGCACAGGACAGATCTTGCGGATCGATGTGCCTTTGAACCAGGCGTAGATACCAAACCCTGTGGTTTGCCTCATTTGTGAAGCCCATGGACTTCGCAAGCTCCCTCTTGCAGCTTGCACCGGCTGGGATTTCAGTGTTCCCCCAGGTGGGCTCATATGTATACATCTATATATATATATATATATGTGATATTATATATATATATACATATTATATATATATATATACATATTATATATATACATATATATATATATATATATATGCTACCCCCCCCCCCTTGAAATACTCAGGTTTTTGGCCAGAACTGAGGTTCTTTTTTGCCAGACTGGGGGTGACAAATTCCTTGCGACTCTGAAATGAACTGACTGGACGCTCAACTCCATGCAAATTCCAACCAAGCAGAAGTTAAGCTCAATGTTGAAGGAGTTGCGAGTTGTGTGACCGTCACATTGGCATGCGCGAAGTGCACTTAAAGTCACATTGGAGTATGCAAAGTTTACTTTGGCAGCTCCAGCTCAAAAACACAAGTGTCCAGTACAAGAGTAGTGCGCGAAGTATGCTTTGGCAGCCTCAACGCGCCTGTAGCAGCTCTACTATTGTGTGTTTCTTATTTTTGTTTGGCAGCGAAATTCAGCAAATCATCAACTTGGGGAAAGGAACTCATTCCTACTTCATGTCCTTGCGCAGTTGCATTTTCATGTTAACTCGAGTGTTGTGCAGAATTCCATGCACATGCTAGTTCAATCTATTTGAAATATATGTTGCAAAGCAACTATCCCATGTGTGTGTGTTGCTTGTCTGACTTGGTTCAATCATCGCCAATAACAAGTATTGAAATTCAAGTAAGGGAAGGATATCCAGTTTAAAACGCTTTCGAGTTCAAACCAAATTCAAGTTTACTCGTTTGGAGTTTCTTGTGCATTTCAAAAATCAACTGGAGAAGATAGCTATTGTCCTTTTCGAACTCCATGTGGTTTGAACCAAGCAGGAACTGAGCCAAGCCAATGCCTGGAACGTGCTTTCAATCACAGATCTTATTCTTGGCATAAATGCTGTAAAACGCAGTGTTTTTTCAGCATTTGCTCAGATCGCGTTGCCCTGGCTCGAAGATCGAGTATACAAGATTCCACAAACATATGTTTAGAACATCCTCAATCCTGGTCCCCTAAAAACTTGACAGTTTGTTCTAGACTCATTAAGGTTTTGCCCCCTGCATTGAAGATTGAAGATCTACTATATTTTCTATTGAGAATCTTCCATCCTGGCCAGCCCTCAAGTCCACAAAAAACCTGTAAAGATGTCAACAACATGTTTCCCCCCTGGCTAAATGCAGGCAGTGAAAGTGCACATCCACAATTTGATTCTGACAACGTGCACTCCCGGTTTGGCAGCGAAATTCAGCAAATCATCAACTTGGGGAAAGGAACTCATTCCTACTTCATGTCCTTGCGCAGTTGCATTTTCATGTTAACTCGAGTGTTGTGCAGAATTCCATGTACATGCTAGTTCAATCTATTTGAAATATATGTTGCAAAGCAACTATCCCATGTGTGTGTGTGTGTTGCTTGTCTGACTTGGTTCAATCATCGCCAATAACAAGTATTGAAATTCAAGTAAGGGAAGGATATCCAGTTTAAAACGCTTTCGAGTTCAAACCAAATTCAAGTTTACTCGTTTGGAGTTTCTTGTGCATTTCAAAAATCAACTGGAGAAGATAGTTATTGTCCTTATCGAACTCCATGCGGTTTGAACCAAGCAGGAACTGAGCCAAGCCAATGCCTGGAACGTGCTTTCAATCACAGATCTTATTCTTGGCATAAATGCTGTAAAACGCAGTGTTTTTCAGCATTTGCTCAGATCGCGTTGCCCTGGCTCGAAGATCGAGTATACAAGATTCCACAAACATATGTTTAGAACATCCTCGATCCTGGTCCCCTAAAAACTTGACAGTTTGTTCTAGACTCATTGAGGTGTTGCCCCCTGCATTGAAGATTGAAGATCTACTATATTCTCTATTGAGAATCTTCCATCCTGGCCAGCCCTCAAGTCCACAAAAAAACCTGTAAGGATGTCAACAACATTTTTCCCCCTGGCCAAATGCAGGCAGTGCAAGTACACATCCACAATTTGATTCTGACAATGTGCACTCCCGGTCTGCCTTTTAGACTCTTCAAATCCGCACTTAGGGCAATCCAGGATCTGAAGATTGAAGATTCTCTGACAACACTTTCTGAAAGTCTCCAAATATGTACTTAGGGCAATCCAGGATGTCCTAGCACGTGCTGGCACATCCTGGCTGATGCTAGAATTTAAGTCTAGAACGGAGTGCATTTTTGGAGCCTCATTTTTAGACGCTGGAACGTGTGTTTTGCATGATTTACAGCCAAAATGTCGATTTCTGGCCAAAAACCTGAGTATTCCAGGGGGGGTATCATATATATATATATATATGATATTACATATGATATATGTATTATTTTTTGATATGCACATGTTTCTGTCAATATGAAGTGGTTCACGCTAAAGGCATGATATGATGGCAGCGACAAATCAAGCTCAAATGGCTGGCTTGCCCCAATGTCTGTATCGCAGCGACTACCAGCACCGCACAGCACCTTCTGGGCCTGAATAATGAACGGGCTTACTGCACATCCCAACAACACGCTTGGAAGCCCCGCCTTCCGGAACACCAGGTTGGTTTCTTTCCGCTCGCGGCCTGCGACAAGAGTCTCAAGGGTAAGGAAAATGGGCTGTAGGATCAGATATGTCCGTCTTCATCTCCAGAACTGAAACACCTTGGAATTCATTACAATCACGCTCTTGGACCCCTGCCGCAAATGCGCGCTATGGTCCAGTCCCCGAGTGGATGGCCGCAAATTAAAGTCTGAATACTAGGATGATGTCCATCCCTGTTGACCCCTCTTCATGCTGTGAGTGGAAAAACGCACCAGCATTCGAGAGTCAGAGAAGGGTGGACCTCAAACTGAATGGGAGGAGCGGGTTCTGGTGCCGTCTCTCCGGCAAGGGCTGCTTCATGCCTGGAAATCGGGATCTCCCAGGGCCAACTTCTGAAGGGTTGGGGGTTACGTGCGCAAAAGTGAACATCTGGACGGTAAACAACCTTGCCCTGATGTGAAATTACATGGAACATTTGCAGTAAAAACAAAAAAAGCGGGAAGAGCTAGGGAAACTATGAATTGTGTAACAAGGAAGTAGCTTCAGCTGATCAGTTTGCATTGTCCTGAGTGTCGATCCGGACCTGATCCGGAAATCTTTCCTGACTGCGGGATTCGGGATTCAATCACATTTCGGGAGTTAATCCCACTCTCGGAAGTGAACCATTCTTGGGGGGATTCGGGATTCGCGGCGCGAATCGAAGTTGCCAACGGAATCAGCCAAAGGAATACATGTAGACATACCCTCAGATCAGCCGCAGAATGTGTGCACCCTTGCCAGCAAGTTGCATAAAAGGGTTTAAGGCTTGTACCGTCAAAGGTCAGCGTTTGCCCACCTGGAGGCACGTTGTCAATATCAATGGCCATGCCCTCGTGTTTGCAGCACCTCATGGTTAAAGTTGCGCCTGATACATGATAACCATCATCATAGCATCCCCTGCATCCCCAGCAATGTCTAACGTGACTTTTGAAATGTAGATAATAAGAAAAGAAGGAGACAACGCTGATGATGATTGGTGACTATGATGATGATGATGATGATGATGATGATGATGGTGGTGGTGGTGGTGGTGGTGATGATGATAGCTATCATCGTAGCATCCCCTGCATCCCCAGTGGCGCTGATGATGGTGATGATGGTGGTGACGATGATGATGATGATGATGATGATGATGATGGATGATGATAAAGATGAAGAGATGATCATCAGCATCATCATCATCATCATCATCATCATCATCATCATCATCATCATCATCATCATCATCATCATCCATCATCATCATCCATCATCATCCATCATCATCCATCATCATCCATCATGACATCGCTGGGGATGCAGGGGATGCATGCTATGATGACCGTCATCATGGCACAAATGATCCTCGTCATCTTCATCATCATAATCATCATCATCCATGATCATCATCATCATCATCATCATCATCATCATCATCATCATCATCATCATCATCATCATGGTGATGATGATGATGATGATGATGATGATGATGATGATGATGATGATGATGATGATGCTGGGACCAGCTTCGCTATCCCCCAGCAACCAAATGTTTTGACAGTCGCACATGACATGCAACCGCTCATATCGTCGCCTTGGCTCATGCCACTCGAACATCTGCCCAGTTTGCGCCTCGCGCTGACTCCGGCCTCCGGAACCTGAAAGGCATTCGGACACATGTCTGGATGGCCGGTCCAACGTCCGTTGTGGGGCTAGGTGGTCTCGAAGTTCGCTATCCTCCCAGAAACCAGCATGGGAGTGCACGGGCTCCCTCTTAAGGAAAAGAGTCGTCCAAAAGGGTCTGTGCACGCCCTTGTTACAATGTTTGTTGGGGGAGGGGTAAATTGTTAGCAACCCTGGTTGCAAGGATTTGCAGACGTTAATTGCAGGTTTACCCCGGGATGCTTACCTCTTTGTTCTCTCCCGAAGCACCCAAGTACTTTCCAAAGCAGTGCTCTGGTGGGGTGCGGATGGATGTTGGGAGATGTGTTTGTTGAAGAACAGTGAATGTCAAGTGACACCCAAAATGAGGGGATTGCTGGGATGTGCGCCCTCTCTCTTTCTCTCTGAATGCTAATGATCTCTGCTCTTAAGTTAAATTCGGCCTGCACACTTATCCCTGCAGCAGCTCCAAACTCAGAGCTGTGGCCAGAAACAAGCGATGGCGCGGCAATACACCTAGGACTCTCCTTGTGCTGCCTTCAGGGATCACCACAATGTGGCTGTCCCTCCTGTTCTTCAAGATCCAGAACTTCCAGAACACGGAGATTTCACAAATCCACCAGCGCAAGCGGCGCCTCAGCTGGTAGTGCCACCGGCTGATGGGGCAGTAGAAGGTCGCCGCTGCATCAAAGGCCGCCACGGCAGAGTGCCTGGCGAACTGAACCGGCAGCATGGACAGTAGATACGGTAGATACGGTAGATACGGTAGATACGATCCCACCGGTCATTCTTGAGGCTCACAGCGAATCTTTGTTTTCTGTGCAGATCGCAAGGCAACATGTGTCAAACTACTTGATCCCAAGCATTCAGCAAGCTGTGAACAATTACTGCGCTTCCCAGCCGGTAGACTTCATCAACAGGATAAGGAGTTGAGCCTTTTGAGTTGTGCTGCTGGGAAGTAGGTTCGGTCACTAGCCGAAAGGTCCTGAACTTGGCCAGAACCTTGAACATCTGGTGCCCTTCCAAGCAACAGCAGCTTAGTCTAGTCATCACTCTTTTTTGAAAAACATGCTGAAGACCCACTAGTCGGTTTTCCCGTCAATCCTGACCCACCCCCACCCAACAACAAAAAGATAGAGGTACCATCGTATGTAGTCATCACTGCTCGCGACCTTGCAAAAATGTCAAAGATCCTTCTACCCCTGCTTGCCTTTTGTTCAAAGCACGCAAAAGAAATCCAGCAAACAGGGGTGCTCCCCCAAAGGAAAAGTCCCCAAAATTAACAGCATGTGTGCACCATTCTGTCTCCCAACGGGCTCCACCTCCCAAGCGGTGGGTGAGCAAGTCCTTATTTCCATTGCACATGTTTCAGGGGAATTGCCTCCAGTCGGGCCTTTGCTCCAGGGTCACGTGCGCCCATCGCCGCTCTTCCGGGGGTTGCGCCTGTCAGAAATGACGAGCAGAACAATCGAAAACATGGGAAACCACGGGCAAGGGAAAACGTAGGGACACCTTCTTTGGCAGATTAGGGTGGCACCCCAGGAAAATAGGTGTCATGTCCAGAGCAATCTCCTTTCGGGGAAAGACCCTTGCGTTCCATGTCGATTTGCAGCAAAGCATGACAAGAAAGGTTGACATTGTTGAACATCTTGGGAAATCCGGCTCTTCTGCACATCAACATGGAACCCTAAAAGGATGTCCCCTCAAACGAGAGTCCTCTACAAACACAAGTTGTCTTTAGTAAATGTAGGGTGCTCAAAATGGTCACTGGGTTTCATTGGAAGGTCATCGCCATCGCCTGTTGAATTGGCACTTCAAACACGGCGTGTCTCTTTTAAGGACGGTGCCCATGTTGGATTTGCCCAAGGAGACCACTGGAAAACCAAGGCCCATGTCATTTCACATGCGCGCTTCAACCACACCTTGTGCGCATCGACCCGCTCATCCAGCAGCAGCTGCAGGCGCCGCACCAAATCGGGCGACAGGTCCGGCGCGAAGCCGTGCCCGCCCCCATCCTCGGTGCACGCGCGACAGCGGTGCCGAAGCGCGCTGCTGGATTGAAGGAAGTGGAAGTCGGTTGCAACATGGAAGCAGAATCCCTTCTGACGGTCTTCTCTGACAGTACAGTTCCTCTCATGACTTCAAGGAACATGTCGCAGGCAAGTAGGGGTGGCGCATGCTGAGAAAACTCAAACACAATGACACACACACAGACACAGACACACAGACACACTGTCACACAGACACACAGACACAGAGACACAGAGACACAGAGACACAGAGACACAGAGACACAGAGACACAGACACACAGACACGACACACAGACACACAGACACACAGACACACAGACACACAGACACACAGACACACAGACACACAGACACACAGACACACAGACACACAGACACGCAGACACGCAGACACGCAGACACGCAGACACGCAGACACGCAGACACGCAGACACGCAGACACGCAGACACGCAGACACGCAGACACGCAGACACGCAGACACGCAGACATGCAGACACGCAGACACACAGACACGCAGACACACAGACACACAGACATACACACACGCAGACACACAGACACACAGACACACAGACACACAGACACGCAGACACGCAGACACGCAGACACGCAGACACGCAGACACGCAGACACACAGGCAGACAGACACAGAGACACAGAGACACACAGACACACAGACACACAGACACACAGACACACAGACGCACAGACGCACAGACGCACAGACGCACAGACGCACAGACGCACAGACGCACAGACGCACAGACACAGAGACACACAGACACACAGACACACAGACACACAGACACACAGACACACAGGCACACAGACACACAGACACACAGACACACAGACACACAGGCACACAGACACAGAGACACAGAGACACACAGACACACAGATACGCAGACACGCAGACACGCAGACACGCAAACACGCAATCACGCAGACACACAGACACACAGACATACACACACACACACACAGAGACACACAGACACACACACATACACACACACAGACACACAGACACACACACACACCACACACCACACACCACACACCACACACCACACACCACACACCACACACCACACACCACACACCACACACCACACACCACACACCACACACAATCTGTATATATATAATTTATCTATATATCTGTATGTATATATATATATATAGATATATACACATGTAAATACATGAAGGGTACATATTGGCCAGGGGAAGAGCCCAATGTCGGATACGTCCAGAACTGGAAACCCAGCTTCTAAACGTTTTGTGCCTGATGCTAGAGCATTTCGGGGGAGAAAAGCCCGGGGATTTGCGCTAGCCACGCCCCGGCCACGCCCCAGCCACCCAGCCACAGCGGCCAGCAGCACTTCGCTGGCCACCGGCAGCAGCACGTCCTTCTGGTTCCGCTCGTCCACCACCCGCCCCAGCACGAAGACCATACCCAGAGGCGATGCTTTCGCCTCAAAAGCGAAGCCCGGAAACGGGACAGCTGGGGAAGGGGAGTGGTATACCCAGCAAACGAGGAGTGGGTTTTGACTTCATGTGATGGATGTATTGCATGTGTCTAAGTCTATTCGTCCTTTTCTGTTTCTGATATACGAGCCCAAAGTGCGGGTTTCAGACACTTCCCCTTGCCCAAGGACCGCACCTGAATCTCTCTACTGCCAAGCAAATGGCTGGTTTTTTCCACCTCGAGTGTTCGGTCATGCCAGTTAAATCCTGCGATCAGTTGTGACTCACTTACCCTATTGTGGAACAAAATGACCTACCAGCTTGCAACTAGAGGCGGGAGCTCTCCTTTTACTCAGCCTGCGAGACCAAACCTGAAGCTCAAGGTCCAAGGCCCGAGCAGTTCTGGTTCTGTCTGCATTAGATGCCCTCCAGCAATAGTGGCTGGTTGCCAAACGGGGGCTGGTCGGCAACGTCTAAAGAGGGCCCAACAAGGGAGCATAATTTTGACCACTCAAAGTGGACAAGCGTCCGCAAAGAGGACGGCAATCTTCCGAAGCCCTCCTGCCCACTTCCACAATGAAAAGGGGGTAACATTAGCCGAGTTGAAGGGCTTGTCTTTCCATTTCTCCTTCCGAGGGGCTTGGACCTTGTAACTCGCTGACTCGACGAACTGGCCAGCACTTGAAATATCCTCAACATCAACATGATCATTGAACGCGTCCTCCAGGCCACACGACGCCCCCAAAAAAATGCTGCAAACACCCCGCAAGGCCTTGAGGCAACGTGACGGCTTGCCAGGGCATAGCGCGAATCGCCGAAAAATCTACCATGTGTAACACGCCGCGGGCGCATCGCAATCGCAACGCTGTGAGTAAAACGTTGCGACGCCGTGCGGCTTTGCGACGCGCTACGTCACGCAGAAGTGATCGCGCTTACTTGCAGACTTGACAAGACGCAACCTGATTCGGCTTCGCATCAGCCCTTCAGCTGCACACTCTGAGACCACAGCGCGCAGATCTGAGCAGCCCAATTTGCTATTTGGGCTTGGTAGTGTGAAAATGGCTGCCGGCTGCTCATTCTATGCTCACCCGCCAATGTCTCAGAAATTGCGCACGCGCCAGGCCAGTGGCAAACATTCAACTCAGGAGAAACATGAATCAAAATGACCGATCATTCTGGAAAAGAGGGAGGCGTGGACTGAGAGACGTGTCTTCAACCACCATCTCAGGTATGTTGCATTGGAATCCCTCTCACCTTGCTTTGCGACTGGTGATGGTTGTTCTTGGGCGGCCTTTCCCAAATACGAATGAGTCTGATCTCTGTGCCAACTTAACCCGCCATATTTTCATCTCGACCCAAAAGGGAAAGCGTATCATCCCAGTCCGCACGGCCGACCCGACCCGGCCTCCGGCGCCTCGGGCGCCCGCGCCACGAGCTCGCGGAAGGTCGCCTCCAGATCCGGCCGCAGCTTCCGCTTGAAGCAGTGCCTGAGCGCGGAAAAACGCGCCCGGGACGGGAAACCAAAAACACCAGCCAACTTGGGAAGGAACAGGAAATCTACCAAAGGGAGTCACAGAAAAGGGAAACCGCTCCATGGTCGTGTTTGCTGAAAACCGAAGGAGGCCCCGGTTCAAACGAGATATTCCCCTTAAAGCCAGCCGACAGCGTTGGTTCTTGAGACCCTTGAGACCCTTGCGAGACGGGCAATCTCCTGGTATGAAACCAGGCCAAAAATTGGTAAAGCGTCTGGGTTTGAAAACCAATAACCCTTTGTTTGCATGTTGAGCCCTCTCATGTGAGGCTTTACCAGACTGTTGCCTATGCTGCGAAACGCAAAGTCGTCGGGAGTGATGCAAGCGTGCCGAAAGAACACATGCAGACAGCAACCCAACCTACCGACATGGATGACCTTTCCAGTGACACTCAGTGCCCTGCCTGACGTTTTCCATATTGAATGTCACTGACCCTGTGATGCTCCCAAAGCAAAGCCAACTCCACCCTATAGATATGTGCTGTAGGACTTCTGTCATGGCCCTCACCTGAACAAAAAGCTGTGTAACGCATCAATGAGTGCGGCCGCCTTGTAGAGCCTTTGTGTGGTTACCTGACTCAAACCCAACAAACAGGCCCCATCCCCGCAAGGGATTTGTCTTCAAGTGGATGTGTCTGTGTATGGTTTGGTTTCACGGAAAGCCAAAGGGAAAACCATCTGCTGGGCAGCTAGCGCAGTACTTGGCTTCGCCCTTTCTTTGTATCAACCATTGCAAAGTGTTGTGGATATCACTTTCGGGGTCAGCCTCGGCTCATCGGCAATTGAGTAGAACAACCTCTCGCCAACATGCCAGCGCCACTTTTGTGGGAGGACCATGGTGGCCGACATGGACCCAAACAAGGCCAATGGCATCCTTAACAGCAATCCCCTCCGGACCACTTCGAGCCTATCCGGGCAGAGACCCCATAGCTTTCAGCTGGGGAAACATGTGTAGAGGACTTAGAGGACTCTGCTTGGGATCGCACCCCTCGAGGCTCGAGGTTCCATCTGTTGCTTTGTAGGGAGTCAAATCGACCCCAGACTCCACCCGCGCTCGGCCGCGCTCGGCCTGCGCGGGTGCGGCAAGTCGTCCTGACAGGTTGGCCCCGAGGCGCTTGGCCGTTGACAACCCGTCAGTTGGTGAGTTGGAATGATAGTTGTTGGCAGGTTACACCCTGCCAAGAGCAAAGGGCTCATCTCCAAAGCACTGGAAGGACCCGCACGAAATGGAAGTCACGGTGCCCAGGCGCCTAAGTCAACGTAAATTTTCGTCATGCCATGCTGTGCAAACTTGCCCTGGTTAGGCCAAACATACGAAGCCAAAACACCAGCGGCGGATTCACTGGAATACTTCTGCCCAGCAGCCCCCCTGAGCCCAACGACTTCTGAGACCGGGCCGCATAGCCAAAAGCACTCGGGGGGCTTGGGAGCGCCTATTGAAAAGCCAGAGAACCGGGGCCGGGAATCGAAGTGAAGGATCAAGGGCAGAAACCAAAGAAGGATCCCAGAAAGAAGGGAACCGGAAATTCGGAAATCGCCTGGCCTAAGTTGGCATCCCCTCGAACCAAGCGATGGCTCTCCTCCGGCCCAAAGGACTGGGGCTTCTGCGGCGGCTTCTGCGGCGGCATGGCCGGCGGCGGCATGGCATCCGCCATGGCCGGGGTCGTGTCCTTTGCTTCGACAAGGAAAGTGTCGGAGAGCATCGGGAAGAGAACTGGCTGGAAACTAGGCACAGGGCCAATCCTTGGATATGCCCAGGTTCGGTTGACGGACAGCGGAAAGAGCAATGCCAAGGCACCCGTCACTGGTGGTTTGAGGCTCTGCTTAGGCTTGGCATGGCTGATGTTTCCTCGGGGAGGGATGCAAGATGAACTAGCCGCCAGCAGGCCAAAGCACTAAGAAAGGTTGAGCTGAAGGTGCCGCAAGAGAACGCCAGCATGAAAGCTCCAGTGATTGAAGGTCAACATGTAGAGCTTAATCTCGCCGAAAGGGCTGAGAGCCAGTATTTGAAAACAAAACGGAGGGAAATGCCTCCTACTCCACACTGCACTGGCAACTCCTTCTTGCCAATAACAGACTGACGTCTACGTCACACAGGGTCTTCAAGCAGGTGCAACTTCAAGTCTTTCATTCTTGGATCGCCCGCCAAATAAGGGGATTTGCAGCTCGGCAGAGCACGCAATGCTTTTGGTGTGTTTGAGTGAGTTTTGACTTTTGGTCAAGGCACGTCGGGAATCAGTTGCTGCCGAAACAGACTTGGTCGCTGTTTTGCTTGAGCCTCAGAGAGCACGTTCAATAAAGAAGTCAGTTCAGGATAGAATGGCACTTTCTGCACTGAGTCGAGAGCTTTACAAGCTCAAAGGGCCAAAACTGCTCCTACCTAAGCTTTGTGCATCCTAAGCCTCAGCTGCCCTGCTGGCAAAAGGAAAAGCTGTGTTTGTCTTGTGTGTTCCACCATTTCAGTAGTGCCCTAACCTTGTCCTGAAGCTAAGGCCCAAGGATCGAACAATTTGATTTGCAATCCAACGGGACATACAAGGCTCATCGAAAATGCGGCATCGTGCTTGGCTCCCCCCATCCTTGAAGTGTTCAAAGTCTAGCGTTGGCGGCAGGAGAAAAAAAAAAGGCGGACATGTGGTCTCTGGCAGCCCTCCCTATCGCAGCCGACCAGAACGCCATCAGTCTGAGGTTCCGAGCATCCGGAACTGACCTCTTCGCAGCTCCCACAGGTTGCACATAAACCCAAACACAGCCTGTAATGTTGGGATAATACTGTTTCTGAAGACTTAAAATCATAGGGTTTAGGGTTTGGGGGACGGTACAGCACGTGTTTGGTTCCGGATACAAAAACAGGAACCTCTTAGCATTTGGGCTGCCCGAGAGTCCCTATCATGTGGGATGCGGAAGCTGAACAATTGGGCCTGGGCACAATTTCATTCACTGGCGTTTGCCAGCTCATGCAAGGTCTTCCAAAGGTGGACCAGGTTCCGGCACATCGGGCAACATGGAGGTGACCAACTTTGTGTTGCTTGTGCTTGCCGAAGCAAAACAGTCTTGTTCTGTCCCCGTAAAAAGAGAAGCAAAGACTGCCCGCACACTACAAAGCAATGAGTTACAGCATGTTTTGCTTGCGGACGCGAGCAAAATAAGAAGTTCTCTGCATTTTGACATGGCTCATGCTTCTTGAAAAAGCTCCAGAAACCCTTGCAAGTGGAAGCATGGTTATTGTTTGTTCTGCAGATAGTCGACGACATGTCAGACCAAACATGCCACAGCGGTGCACCCTTGTGCATGTCAACTCGCAATGAACATTTGCGCGCCAGAGGCACTTGCCTGTGCCAAACAAGATGATATTTTTACCTGGAGAGATTCGGGACAAAAAGACAAGAAACCAGGGTAGGCGTTACATGGCCCTGCCAAACTTCACGGCAGGAAGCCTCCCTCAAAAGAAGCCTCCCCCAATCCAGCCAGCAGCAACCCCCATTTCTAACCTCAGTTTCAAAAAGCACACATGTAGCACTAACAGCCTCATTCAAGCTGCCACGAACATTTAATATTCGAGTTGGTGGCAAGGCCGATTCAAACGGAGCCGAAGACTGAAGAGCTCCCCGATCTTCAAAGGATGAATGTGTGAACCCATCAATGAATCCCTGGCAGGACCCCTGGTTTATAGCTGCACCAACCACAAATAAGGGACCCAAAATGAATACCCATGGGTTGATGGGTTGATGGCTCCACACAAACAGCCTTTGAACCTCCCGTCTCTGGCCGACCTGCCTGTCGGCAGCCAGCCCTGGCAACGCCAGGCGCGAGCGGGCAGAACGTCCATCAGGAGGCCCACCAAGGGCAAAAGTCCCAACCCTGGCCTGAAATGAGCAGAACCACGGTTCCTCAGATCAGCGCTCTCTACTTATGGGCGATCGTTCGAACCCGGGAATTACGTCAATGAAGGGTCTCCAACATGCACACTCAGGCATGGCCTGCAATTGCCGTCCGATTTGGCAGCCATGGCAAATCTTGTGACTGCAACGGCCGGCAGTTCCAAATCGAGCACTCGACAACAGTGATACAAACAAAGCAGCACGGGTTGAACATGTCAACTCGCCGTTGGCAAGATGAGAACACTGTGCAGGCCTTCTGCTGATCAACATCGCCCTTCTCTGCCCCAGCCGTGATGCAAATGAACTCCTTTGACGGCAAAACACACACACACACACACAGACACACATGTTCCATCTCAAATAAGCTGAAGGGGGGTCGCCAATGCTCACACACAGCAGCCGCTCGAATCTTCTTGGCAAAGCAACTCATTGAACAGATTGTTGCTGCATGAGGGACAGCGGTCAACCCTTCCCTATAGACACTGAGAGGTTCCCGGCCCGACCGCCAAACGCCGTCCCTTCCAGCCTGCGTCTGACCCCGAGCTTCCTGGGCAAGAGCGGCACTGCACAGGGCACTTGGCTGCTTGACCGAGAGGGCTAACAAGACCGAATGACATCTAATAGCATCCTTTTCGGTGCCATTTTAGTGTCTGATTCCTCGAGAAGGCCCGAACAACCATTGTATAGAATGCGTAAACATAGGATGCGGACAAAACATCGGAGGAACCTGCTTTTTGAACCCCCCCGAATCTTTAGTCTGCTCTTCTGCCTTTGTCGCGCCAACGTTTTCTTAGGTTGAGAGGAGGTCCTGCTGGGCCTCGGTTTTCTTGCGCGCTCTCGCGCGCTGGCTCTTCCTGCCTGAGGAGTGCGGCGCGGTGCACGATTGCGGCCGCGTCGATACCCACTTGGTGTCGCCGCTGGCGACCTTGAAAGCAATTCCTAAAGTGGCAACGGAATTATGAAACGCGAGCGCTTCCGCTCCGCGAAATTCGCAAAAGTTTTAAGTATGTTTTGTAGCGCGCATGGCGCGCCCTCCTTCAGCTCCGGAAAGATCGTAAGTTACCCAAAGAGCATTCCGGCAGAAAACTCCGGCCAGATCGCAACTTGCAAGTTCCGTTTCTGGCTTTACGTGCTCTCCCCGTCTGCCTTGGATCTCGCCGTCGGTGATTTTGACCTGTCCTGCAAAGATGAACTCTTCACGATCTTCTTTCTGGCACTTATGGTAGATGGCGATCTCGACGATTTCTTTCCACCTTGGTTGTTTTCCCAAAGCTCATGTTCCTCCCGTTTCCATCATGCAATCGATCGATCAAGAAAAGGAAAAATTGAGAAAGGAAAAGAAGGATTGGAGGAAGTTGAAGGCAAAACAAAAACGCAAGAAAGAAAGCAAGAAAGAAAGAAAGAAAGAAAGAAAGGAAGAAATAAAGCAAGAAACAAAGAAGGCGGGAAGGCAGAAAAGAAAGGAGGGAAGGAAGACGGAAAGACAGAAAGGAAGAAAGAAAGAAAAGAAGATGGAAAGACAGAAAGAAAGTAAGCAAGAAGGAACGAAAAAGGACCAAAGACAGAAAGAAAGAATAAGAAGACATACAGAAAGAAAGTAAGCAGGAAAACATAGATATATCGACAAACAAAATACGAAGAACAAATTAGATAGTGGGGGAGACAGCCAGACAAAGGCAGACAAATATATAGATAAGTAGATAAAATACACGAGTAGGTGGACAAATGCACAAATGCGTGGATGCACAGATGATGGATGGGCAGGTAAACAGCATGCACAGGTAGATGCAAGGAGTAACAGGTAGATGGGTAAATAGACAAATCTATGTCAATAGTTTATGGATAGGCAGAGGCATACACAGATACAGAGTCAGTACACAATCAATCTGCATTCGGTGGGGAAATAGAGTCGTTTCAGAGGCCAGGTCGGTTTAGGCTCGGCTTGGGGTTAGGGCCGGTTTAGGGTGGCTTGCACGGCGCTGGTTTAGGGTTCAGGTTGGTTGCGGTTGGCTAGGGTTGGCTTTGGGTGGGTGGTTTAGTGGAGTATAGAGGGTCTAGGGTCGGTTTCGAGTGGTTTGGAGTTGCTGTGGGACTGGCTTGGGCCCGGTTTCGTTTACAGTTGGGGGTTGGTTTAGGTTTGTTTTGGAGTTCAAGGTCCCTGCCGTGGCGGGCCGAAACGCGCGCGTTCACGACCTAGCAAGGGGTCTTACACTTCCCACAAGAACGATTGTTCAAGTGGGAAAGGTCGCAGTGGAATTGCTAAACGGAGCCCTGTGACTGCAACCCCAGGCAAGCGAAAGGCAGCCCGGTCTCATTCGTGATTGTTGCGGGCGTCATCGCCTCTATGCTCGTGTACTCCTCCTCCGCTTCACTGCTTCGCATAAAAGTCATTTTTGCTGCTAACTTGTATTTATACATTTTTTTCAGGGATCAATCATCTGGGAGTGAGTGTTGATTGCTTGGGACACATAGCTGGAGCCAGGGTCCCCGTTCTGCTTACAGCAAAAAAGCCGGTCTCCACAAATACGGGGGCTCTCGACCACGTGGGTTGGCTGAACACAACTTGAACCCGCGTATTGCCATCCGCCTTCGGGAATGATGGCGAACCAAAAATATACCGCGAAGAGTTCGCCAGCAGATACCCAGTGACTGCAAGTGCATGGACCCCAAAAACCGAGACGCTCATTTCCAATCAGCCCAAAAGGAAGCCACCGAAATGGAAAATATAGCTGCCACGAAAAATCTACAGGGACTGACACTCCCTCTCCCACTCTCCCCATCCGTGCAACAAGTCTCCCTGAGCCCGCGGGCTCTTGGAG